GGACAATAATCTCGAGAAGCTCCAAACATGGTTCCTGGAGGAGGTGGAGGGAAAGGAGGTCCTCTTCTCATGAACGGGCCTCTTGTATCTACTGGAAACGATGGACCTCTGATTGGAGCAAGAGGTGGAGGAATAAAGCCAGGCCCAGTTGCTTCATTTTCAGTGGGAAGAGATGAATTAGGCACCTTTAAATTACCAAGATTATCTTTGGTATCATTTCTACCGGATTCCATTTCTGAAGGCATTGACCCATCCAATTTACCCAAAGAAGGTGTATTAAAACTTCTGAGTTCTGCTGGTCCAGAGCGTCTAGCAGAATTAGAATGAAATCTGTCTTGCCCTTGTGGAGGAAAAGCTGAATCAGGATATGACTGTCCCAGTGGAGGAAACACCATCCTACAGTCCTGTTCCCACAGAGGCGACAGGGGCCCAGTGCCAGAAGGAGCCCTGTGAGGACTGGTTAACCTATCCCAGCTTGCTTCTCCTCTTTCATTGGTCATCTGACAGTCCAGAGGATTCCCTGGGCCTGCTAGGCCTCTTCCTCCTCCCCCTGGAAGCAAAGGTGAGCGTCTCAGTGGACCCTCCAACAAAGTCAGAGGATAGAGAAAAGCTCTCATTTCAGATGAAGGCTGACCCATTTCAGATGAAGGCCGACCCAATGGTGAGGGAGCATATGGGGAATGCTCTCTGCCAAATGCTGTATTTGGAACATCAAGTGCATGACGATCTTTTTCTAAAAGTTTTATTTTAAACTCTATATCAGTTAATTTTTGTCTGTTGTGAGCATTTTCTTTCCTCAAATCATTGAGGTTTCTTTCAGCAGTCCAAGCTGCCAACCAATTATTATGTGCTTTTTTCTTATGGAGAATACTCTTCCTTCGATAAAAATGAATAATTCTCTCAAATTCTTCAAGATCTTTGGCTCGCTTTCTGTAGGCCTTCAGCTCTTCAGTGGCATGGCTGATTATTTCATCTGCTTTAGAAAGTTTCTCTTCTTTCTCTAATCGGCATTTTTCCTCTACTATTAATTTCCTGTAGAGTTTCGTTTCATTTTCTTGACACAATTCAGTCATTACTTTAAGTTTCTGTTGAAGTTTCTGATTCTCACTTTCAAAATGTGTGCTTTCTGACTGCAAAGATGCTTGTTCAGTCTGAAGATTTTTAATATGCTCTGTAAGCTCTTCCTTTGTTTTATCAACTTCAGATAATTGAATATAAATTTGGTTTCTTTCTCCTTCTAAGGTTTTTAAAGAAGCACATAACGTAGCAGCATGAATCAGTTTCTTCAAAGCTCCTTTTGGAGGATTATCTAAGTAAGCACCATCTTCCGATTCACTGTTCATTTCTAATTCCAAGTTATCATCAACCGTTATGTCTTCTCGAAGCGTAGCAGTCTGATCTTTCATCTTTAGCAAGCGTTCAGTCAGAGTCCTGATGTGATTTTCTTTATCATTTAAAACTTGTTCTGCGTGTACTTTGGAGTCTTCAAATGTTCTTTTCTGTTTAATAAGTTCACGCCCTTGTTCTTTCCATACTTCAGCTTCTTGCAAAAGCTGTTTCTGGTTTTCCTGAAGTTGATAATTTTCATTCAAAGCATCTTGTATTTCTATCTGCAGTCGTCCTTCATTCATTTGAAATCTCTTAAAAGTCATTTTGGCTTCAGCTACTTGTGATTTGAGGGATTTTGACTCATCTTCTAGTGACTGTATCCTTTTGGAAATATCTGCCATCAATTCATTTTGTTCAGAATGTTTAGATTTCTCTTCTTTTAACTCTTTTTCTAGACAGAGTATATCATGCTGAAGTTCAGAATTGAACCTGTTCAGCTTTTCACAGGTTGCCTCCAAACTTCGTGCTTCTGTTGTCGCTTTCTCAAAGCTGGCATCCTTTAAAGATGACTCTACTTCATAGCCTTCATACTCTTTTTGAACAAGGCTAAATTTTTCAAGTAGTTTACATTTTTCTTCAATTAGTCCAGAAAGTGCCAAAGCAAGCTTTTTCTCTCTTCTCACATAAAGCCGACTCGTAACTGATCTAAAACTTCTCCACAAGAAGAGAATAGCAAAAAATCCCACAACAGCTGCCCGTATCACCAATTCCCATGGAAAATCATAAGGATGGGAATCTGGTTTCATACCTTCAGGCAGTGCTACCACAACCCTGCGCAGCAACTCCAAGACTAGCCCCAAGTAGGGCTGAGGGTTAGCCTTAGGCTCCTCCATAGCACCAGAGCTGCTGTGGCGGTCGCTGCAGTAACCCCGGCCACAACAAGCGGCTGCGAAGACGCAGCATTCCATCTGGAACCCGAATCCCCAACGGGCAACTGGAGCGTACCACTGCGGAGCCGGCTGCGGGGGGAGCTAGGGGACTCGGGCACACATAGGCCTCACAGACCCACATTGCCCACCCCGGCCCCCTTGTTACACTTTACATCCTGAGGAAACGCTAAAACCTGTATTTTAAAACAACACTACATGGAGAGAAAGACTTAGGTGACCCAGCATCCCAGCTATGCCCATCCCAAGCTGACACCCTAGCTAAATGTAGCCTTGTGCATGACCCCAGGTGAGGCCGGCAGAACCTCCCAGCTGACAGAATGATAAGGAATAACAAATCATTGTTTTAAGTCACTAAACTTTGGGGTCATTTGTTATGCAGCAGTAGCTAGCTGAAATACCTGCCCCTTTATCACTTTGGTGTTTCAGTATCTGTGGTCTGAAATCATTAATTTGGGTGTTTGACTAAGATTATGCCTCATGGTAAATTCTGATAGGTAATTTTATAGCTAAAATACAAATTTTCTGATTGACCTTTGCTTCATTGAAGAGATATTTATTTAGCTCCTCCCAAATGAGACAGATTATGCTTTTTAGGTTAACTTCTTCCAGGAGAGGGCTCACCTCTGCCTAGCATGATCCTCAACTGTCCCATGTACAACTGAAAAACACTAATCTCATCCCCAGAAGATCCAGGGCACTTAGAACAGTGCTGGCACTTAGAGAGTGATTCTCTTACCTGTCCATCAAACTTACCTGCTCTGTGTCGATTTCTGAAACACTGGCACTCCTTCAACACGGATGATGCCTTGCCCTGCAATGAGCCATCATCTCCCGCCCATGCACATATCTTCAGCTCACCTGGAAAGCTCTCTCCTGCAGCGATGGGTATCCCAACCAGGTTACAAATCAGTGCTAGGACCAGGTTGATGCATATCCTCCGGACAGTCATCTTGGAAAGGTGAATGCTAGCCACCATGTCCAGCAAATCATTTCTGATGAGGACGACGTTGGCTGCCTCGATGGCCACATCAGTGCTGGTGCCAATGGCAATGTGCACGTCTGCCTGGGCCAAGGCCAGGGAATCATTGACCCCATTCCCCACCATGGCAACTTTCTTCCCTTCGTTCTGGAGCTCCTGAACCTTGGCCACCTTGTGCGAAGGCAACACCTCTGCAAAGACTTTGTTGATGTCAACCTGGGTGGCAATGGCTCTGGCTGTCTTCTGTTGTCCCCCGTGATCAGAACCATGTCCACACCCACGCTTTGCAGTGTGTGCACAGCCAGGGCGGCCTCCTGCTTGACAGCTTCTGTGATAGAGATCATCTTACAGAGCATACCTCGACAAATTGCAGAAGTACCTGCTCCCTTCGCCGGCCACCATCTTCTGCCCGGATATGAATACAGTTCTTATATTTTCATTATTAAAAGGCAACATGCTGACTGCATTAAAATGTAAAGGCCTCTGGGTGACAAAACCGTTATAAGCAAAAACAAAAACAAGTGAACAGACTTGGAAAATACATGCAACATATAAATTGACAAAGGAATAATATTCAGAATATATAAAACACTAGGCTGAGTGTGGTGGCTCACCCTGTAATCCCAGCACCTTGGGAGGCCAAGGCAAGAGGATCACATGAAGTCAGGAGTTCAAGACCAGCCTGACCAACATGGTGAATCCCCATCTGTATTAAAATTACAAAAATTAGCCGGGTGTGGTGGTGGATGCTTGTAATCACGGCTACTCAGGAGGCTGAGGCAGGAGAGTCTCTTGAACCTGTGAGGTGGAGTTTGCAGTGAGCCGAGATTATACCACTGCACTCCAGCCTGGGCAACAGAGCAAGACTTCATCTGAAAAGGAAAAAAAAAAAAAAAGAACTACAAATCATTAAGAAAAATATAGTTAATCGAGTAGAAACAGTAGACAAAGGTATGTATGAAGAGACAGGCAATTCTAGAGGAGGGAAATCAAATGTCCAGGGAACACATAAAATGATACTCAACCTCACTAATTAAGAAAAAGCAAATTAGAACAATGGGGTACGCATTCAACTTCTGAAAAGATGAAGTAGAAGTATTTCCCCCCATTTCTCCTGCTAAGTACAGTTAAAAAAGATGGACAGTAGATATAAAACAACATGAGAAGACTAAACAGTGCAGAGAAGAAGGCAGACCAGCTAGAGACCTCAAAATCTGAGAAACAATAGGGCGGTGATTTCCGTGGGTTTTTTTTTTTTGTCCCAAAGATGAGATGCTAAAGAAATGGGCAACCAGTAAATGCCACAGACATAGAGCAGGAAAAGCCTCTCTCTGGTTAAAAGACCAAAAGAGTGGCGGCCTAGCAAGACAGAAAACTCTTACGTATGAACTGATCTTTCCCAGCAGAGACCACAGAAAAAAACTGTGGCCCACTCCGCCTCTGCCAGCGAAGTCCAAGAGGGTAACTTAAACTTCCACTCTGGAAAATCTCTACTGAGCACTCCTTGCTTCCCCACAGCCCCTCCCCCTGTGACATGGTTTGGCTGTGTCCCCATTCAAATATTATCTTGCATTGTAGTCCCCACTGGAGGGATTCAGTGGGAGGTGATTGGATCATGGGGGCAGTTACTCCCTTGCCGTTCTTGTGAAAGTGAATTCTCATGAGGTTTTATAACGGGCTTTTGCCCTTTGCTCAGCACTTCTCCTTCCTGCTGCCATGTGAAGAAGGATGTGTTTGCTTTCCCTTCCCCCAGGATTGTAAGTTTCCTGAGGCTTCTCTATCCATGCTGAACTGTGAATCAATTCATCCTCTTTCCTTTATAAATTACCGAGTCTCAGGTATGTCTTTATTAGCAGTGTGAGGACAGACTAATACACCTTGTCGAGGTGGTGATGTCAGAGAAGGCCAAGGGAGGAGTCTGGTCTGGACTTTTTCTCCTCCTGGTGGTAATGAACCACTCTCATGTCCATCATCGGAACCACTTGGGGAGCCTGAACTCTCACCCCCTATTGTAAGGACTCGTATCTAGAATACATAGATTTATAAAAGACACTCAAATATCACTGTAAAAGAAGCATAAACATCCAATTACAAAATGAGCAAAATATATGAAAAGACACTTCATAGAAGTAGACATACAGATGGCAAATAAGTTCATGAAAAGTTGTTCAGCATCACTGGCATTTAGGGAAATGTGAATTAAGACCAGCAAACAATACCACCACACACTAATTAGAACAGCTAAAATAAGACATGGTGGCAACACCAAATGGTGGCAAAAATGTGGAGAAATTGATCTCTCACACATCACTGGAGGGAATATAAAATGATACAACCACTCTGGAAAATAGTATGTCCGTTTCTTAAAAAACTAAACGTATGCTTGTGATGTGACCTAGCCCTTACTGCACCCTTGGCATTTCCCAGAGAAACAAAATCTTGTGTCCCCACAGAAACCTGCCCATGGTGCTCATAGCAGCTTTATTTGTGATATCTCCAAACTGGAAACAACCAAAATATCCTATGATAGGTGAAGGATTGGACAAACTACAGTAATATCTACGATGATATACTACTCAGCAATAAAGAGGAACAAATTATCAGTAAATGCAACACCTTAGGTGGATCTCAAGGGTATTACTCTGAGTGAAAAAAGCCAATCTTCAAAGGTCACACACTGTATGATAGTATTTATATAACTGTATGAAAATGACACAATTATAGGGATGGAGAACAGATAAGCAGTTAGAGTTGGTGGGGATGGGCAGGTCTGACTATCAAGGGGTAGCATGAGGGAGATCTTTGGGGGAATGAGATAGTTCTATATCTTAATTATGGTTATGTTTCCATGGATCTGCACATATAGTAAAATGACATAGAACTATACATTCTTTATACCAATGTTGATTTTCTGGTGTGATATTGTACTATAATTATATTAGATGTAGCCATTGAAAGAAACTGAGTAAAAGGGACAAGGGACCTCTCTGTACTATCTTTGAACTTCCTATTAATCAATAATTATTTCAAAATAAAAAAATCAAGGCAGTATGATTCTTTACCATCAAATTGGAGAACACTTTAAAACTTGATTCAATTAAGTTTGGGCAGAGTTCTAGAGAACAAGGATAGTCCTTCTGAAGGGCAATTGGTAGTGTTTATTACAGCTTAACACACGCACAATCTTCCAAGAGATTCTAGGAGTTCTGTCTTAAAAAAACACCGATGTGCACTGGAGAGAGACATGCAAGACTATTCATTGTGGCATTGCTTGTATGAGTGAAAAAATTAAAATAGCCTAAAAGTCCATCAAAAGTGGAATAGTTAAACAAATTATGGTATATTCATATAATACAATATGGCAATTAAAAGGAATTAATTAGATACACTTGTAGCAGCATGATGTGATTTCAAAAACACTGTGTTGCATGAAAAAAGCAAGATACAGAATGACACATAAGGGATAGTACTTTTAGAGGAAACACATAAAGCAATACAGTCTTCTTCAGACAAATATATATGAATTACAAAAATGTCAAGATCAAAGGTAAATACTTCACACAAAAGCCTAACCACCTGGTCACATCTGGTCAGGAGACGAGGGGAATATGAGATGAATATACTCATTAGGCATTACCTGGATGTTAAAAATTATTATGACCCTGCAGTTATTTTTTAAAGTTTATTTTATTTTTTGTTTGTACAGTGGTTCATCTGAAACTAGCGATTATTAATATGTTGATATTTTCCTTTTACTTTTCTTCCTGTTCATATTTGTGTGTGTGTGTGTGTGTGTGTGTGTGTGTGTGTATGAATGTTCGAATGCAACATTTTTAGACACTTAAAGGTATAAAAGCTGAAAAGAGAATATAACATCTCTATTTATTCAGCACCTACTATTTGCCAGGCTAGCGTCCTGTGAGTATTACAGACATTACTCCTAAATCTCACTAGAATCCTATAAATTGCTGTT